AAAGTAAAATAGCCTACACAAATAACATTTAGACTGTGTTTCTGATTAAATAAAGCAGTAATTGATGTCATAAAAAAAAATTTATGTTTTGATTTAAAGGTCAGAATCTATAGCTTACATATCACAAACATCACAAACATGACACTTGTAAATTAAATAGTTTTATATATACTGATTTATTCATTAATGTTTTATTTTTTCAAATGTTAAATCTTAAAATAAAATGTTATGGTTAACACTGCATCTTTCTGGGGGAAAAATACAGCGATTGATATATAGTTTATTTATAGTTATTTCAAAGCTTCAATGTACTGTCAAAAACCCTTCATTATTGTTTATTTAATTCTAACAAATAAGTTCTTGTAAAAAACTAACCAAAATTTAAAATATTTTGCTTATAATTTCTGCACAGGAGAGACTTGGTGTTGTTTCCAAACAAAAGGAAAAATGAGTTGAAAAATATCGGCATATCGGATATCGGCAAAAATTCTATATCGTGCATCCCTAAAATATATATACATATATATATATATTGTTCACATATGTGCATTCTTTGGGTAGATGAAGATATAATTTTATAACATATATTAAATCCCCATAGTAAAATTTGTATAGCTACATGTTAATAATATATAATAATATATAATGATTTTTTATATGGTATTGAAACAACTATTTGTAGCAACTATATATATATATATTTTTTTTATTTATATATGCAACTTTATTAAAATGAAATATATACAAAAATCTGTATGTTTATGTATATTTTTGTACTACATTTAAAAAAAAAAGTACATGCCTATGTTTTATATTTACTTATATAATATCAACATGTATTGATGGGTTTTAGTCCAGGCTAGATACTATATATTACATTTTCCAATTTCTATTATGTTTCATGTTTGTTTTTCCTTCATTTGAATATATTTCATAAATGGAAATTTTATATATGTACATATATTGCCTTTGCATATTGGTTAGATGGGTAAAATCGCACAATCTTTTGATTTAAAGTTTCTAAAAGTACGCTTGAGATGGATTTGTCTAATTCGTGCCCACTTACACAAACTCCAGCAGGTGCATTTATCCGTGGCATAAAGAAAAAGTGATCTCATTATCCCATCAGATAATTCCCAGCGGTCTGCGAATCAACAACATCATAATGAGGACAGGAGCTGTTTAAAAAGAGTCGAGATGCACGCTTTGCATGGAGCAGACCTATTTTAGACTCTAACTTGACTAGACTAATTTACTCTGGGCATCTGAATGCAGTAATTACGCAGTGACCATTCTGACTGATTGCAGAACCATGCTCCACTTTCAGAGGAAAATCTGAGCTTGGAACTTTGTGTGTATGTGTGTGTCGCAGCTCTGCAATGCAGTTCTTTGTGGAGTCAAATTTGCAGCTTTGTTCTGTCGATGCCTTGGCTTCCTGGAACACAATTCTCAATGCTTTGATTCACACACGCCACCTCGGGTTAGACTTTGATCCTCCTGCGCGTCGACGTTCGGCTGCTTGTTCGTTTTCGCTGCAGATGCTTCAAAAAGCAACGGCGTGCAGCGCAATATAATCACACCTCTCTGAAAGGCGACTAATTAGGGAATGAAAATGTAAGGTTGCCATGGATACAGGTCACCCAAACTCAAAGGCTAAACTACAGGGAGAGTTTACGAAGTACGAACTGCGCCCACTGATTGCACGCTTCGTTTGCGTTGTTTTAGCACCTGATTCGCTAAAGGAATTATGCAAATCAGATAACGATGCAAAAAGGCATAAATAATTAGCAGGGCACTTGTGGAGGATGCAACAATCAGGTGACTTTAAAGTGACTGTACAGCATCACGAACAAATGATCTGAAAATGCAGATAGTGTGGGCTACTGGACTATACCATTTGATCCTCATTTAATGAATTACTGCTGCCATGATCAATAAAAATATACATTAAGGTAATTTTTAAATAATATTTTGTTTACCGCTAGCCTTCTATATAATGCCATATTTAATTATTAAGCGCATTAATTGCACCAAAAAGCTTTGTAAATAAGTTACAACATATAATAAGCCTAAATTGCATAAATATAATATAATATAATATAATATAATAATATTTGGCAGTTTTTTGTGATATTTTTTAGAAATATCACAGTCTTGCATTCAGATTATAAATGAAATAAAAAATATCCTGATCCAAAACCAAAGATGTAGATAATCTGCATAAATCTATATTATGTAGCATAGTGGCTATCTTATAATGTGTATTGCAAACTGTTGATTTATTGCTATCAAAAATACAAAATGTAAATTAAAAAATAATATAATAAAATATATAACAATTATAATAATTAGTATAATATAATTAATATAATAAAATATATAATAATTATAAAATAATTTTATAATCGTATAATATAATATTTAATATTACATTTTGAATAAAAGATGACACAATCATGTTTTTTGGGAAATTATCAAGCATGCTTACTGAAAATAAAGAATAGTTTTTGTGAATTGGTCCTTTTGTTTGTTATGTTTAAAGTACATACTTTGTCTGCCGTCCATCGATGGAGTAGAACAGCTCCCGCAGCTCATCAGTTGTCAGTATCCCGTCTGCAAAATACGCTTTGAACTCCTCGAAGGACAGCTTCCCGTCATCTGCAAGAAGACACAAGAGGAATCAGACAGAGATTCAGCAATCAGAGAATCTGCTGCCAAGTTTCCATCCAAGGATTTTTTGCGACAAAAAGGTTTAATGCATCAAAATGTTTACTGGTATAGCTGGTGTAAATGCTAATTATCGTTAAAGTGTCATCTAAATATTTTTCTATTTGCCTTTAGAGCATAAATTCTATGTCGATACTTCACGAACAACTAGTTTAGAAACACTTTTTTTTTTTTTAGAAAATTAGCTTTAGTGTAAATCTGTGTTTGTATGTTGCTCCCATTAAATAGTTGTTTCTCAGTAAAGTTTAAGGAAGTGTTAAATCTGTTTGGACTTCATATGAAGTGTAATGCCCTAATAAAATCTAAATCAAAATAAAAACAAAAAGTGCTGTTTTTTTATTATCAACATAAAAGGTCAACACCGCAGTTTATGCCGACAAAAAACACACATTTAGACAGGAAGAGACTGGCTGATGGGCATGCAAAAAGACCAATCACAGTTTGTTTTGCTTTTACATGCTGTCTAGGGGTGGGTTTAAAAAAAGTACAGAATTCGATAAACAGCTGCTTGTGCATATCTAGTTTATTTGCTCAAACAAAACTGAATCTTTTAAAGATTTGATGCCACAAACCTTGCAAACTTTGGAAATGAGCTCTTCTTCACTTGTTTATAATATCTTCACTTCACAATTGTTCATAATGTCATCTCAGTATCTTGTTTAGTATGCAACAACCAGATGAGTTTAATGTGAATGTACAGCATCACAAAAACATTTGAATTGATCTTAAAATGCAGAAAGTGTCCTTGACTACACCAGATGCAATTCTAGCGCGCTTCTGCATCATTTATTTGATCATCATTCAATGAATTACTGCTGCCATGATGATCAATAAAAACTGTAGACAAAAGTCTTTTCAAAATAATATTCCGTTTACAGCCAACCTTCTATAAGCAGTAATGCCTTAAGTGCATTAATTGCACTAGAAAAATAGCATTGAGTTTCATAAATGAGTTGCAATACATAATACATTTCAAATACCCATTTAGACAGAAATAAACATGCAAAGCAACCAATCACAGTTTGTTTTGTTCTTACTTGATGTTTAGGAGTCAGTTTAAGTACAAAAAATTCTGTGTACATAAAATATAATTTAATTGTGGAAACATGTGTCCATGCAAAAGTAATGCAGATTTCAATGAACAGTTGAAATAAGATCAATATGAAATAAATTTGATTATCTGATGGCCTGATACAAAAACCTGTGCACCTTAACTCTTGAAAATTGCAATGCAATCTGGTTAGAGCTTGCAATGTTGACTAGATCTTTCCAGTTTTGCATGCAACATACATCAAACAATCAGTGAAATGACTGGAGGTTGAGACAGCGTTCACCCCTCGTCTCAGCCCACGATGAGCGTCTTTATTAGGTCAGATGAACACCTGGCAATGCTTTTTACTGACGGCAGATGTCGTAGATCAACCTTGATATGTGAACTACCATCTGCCGTTAGTGCATCTGCTCTTATTATTAGGTAAAGTGGAGAAGGTGTCATCTATCAAGAGCCCAAAGAGAAATATACGCGGCAGTATGTGACAGCACTCATTCATGGCTGACAGATCGTCTAAATCACTTCCTCTCTGAGTGAGCACGTCACTGAGCATTCGAGCACACTCTGACATTTATCAGCCTCCTGAAAGACACCAGAGGTGCTTATAGCCCTCCAGTTGTGCATTTGAGGTTTGACGACACTTCAGCTTGACGTCAGGGGCAGCGAATGACTTTCCACAATGTGAATGTGAAAGGAAAACTCTGGTGTCTAAGATCTGAAAAAGCCTATATCTACTAGCCTAAGAGAAAATGGTGTGCAGAAAATAATATTGCAAGATTTGTATGTTTTCTGAAGGAAATACTGGAGAAATGCCTGTGTAAATCCATGCCAAAATTATTCTGAATAATCTTCTTAACCCTTAAAAGCCTGACATATGAAATAATAGTCTGAAAAAACTTTTTTATGGAACAGTTTATTGAACCTTTAGATAAAATCTAAAAGAAAAGAGAAGTTTGAATATGTGTTTTTGTTATCATATTTGATGCATCAGGTATTTATGGCTCATATAGTCTGATATAGTGAGAATATGGAGGGAAAATAACAGCTCAATATTATTCAGAGAATGAAACTGAGCAAAAATATACAATTTGGTGCAGATGCTGATATTTATATAATGAAATACTGATGCTTGTAATGTAAATCAACGAGATCTTTAAAACATAAAAAAATGCATATACATATCAGTGGTCACTCTATATCTGCAATAATATGTCTCAGTAAGATGAGATTTAAATGATCCAAACATATAATGCATTGATGATTGAGAGCTGAAGAAATAAAGGCTCCTCAGAAGATGTGAGATGTTCTGGAGGCTTGTGAAGATCATTCCTCCGCTGAGGAACAGTGAAAGTAAAGCTTCTGGAAACAAACGCTCCTCAAAAGATCCTGAGGATCAGATTTGAGACTCTAAAACATGATTGATGGAGAATCAAGTAAAGCTGAGCTGCTTCAGTCCAGTAAGAGTTCATCTGGAGATATTACTGCAGTTATTCTGATGTTTACTTGATCGAAATCAGTCAAGATTTGACAGCAAAAGATGTTTGTATTATACTAAAAGACTTTTAACTCTAAAATATCAATCAGACGACAGAAGGCATCCAGTAGATTGAGTGTGAAACAGGTTTATCAGCAAATATTTGATCATTTTTACAGGCCTAAAATTGCGTCTCAAATCCGATCCAGTAGGTTTTAAAGGGTTAAATATGATTAGAGTGAGATTCAGAGGAAGTTATTATCATTTACTACAGTGATATATAAAGTAGCCTGAGTTTGCGCCTCTGGGAACTTTTATATTGGAACAGAGAAAAGTTTCAGGTATAAATGAAAGAGAAATTGCAATGAGAAGCAGTTTGTCTCCAGGGCCAGAGATCAGACGAGAGCATCAGTTCACTCCTCTTTGAGAAAAAATACAATGGAAATTAAAGTCAAATACTCAAAGCATCACTTATAAAGCACACATTTTAATGGATGAATCAAAAGAACAATAATCAGACTGATTCTGTTGAAAAGGTGAATTGTAAGAGATCAGACTTGCGATTCTCACCTGGTGGATGATAAAACAGAAAGAAAACCACCTAGAAACCACGCAGAAACAGGTCACTTGATATAAATCTCAGCAAGACATCAAATAACCATCTGATTCACAAATCCGCACAAAGGGGGTTTGAATGTTTTTTAAGTTAAAAACTACACACTGTAAAAAATACACGGTAAAATACCAGCAGCTGTGGTTGCCAGAACTTCACCATAAAAAATATGGTAGCAACATTTTAGGTTTTACAGACTTAACTTAAATTCACAATAAAATACCGTATTTCATTAACTGATGTAATGTTAATAAACCAACATATGTAAGTACTAATATCTGTTTTGAACTATTGTAATGCACTGATAACCACCAAAAACTGGTGGTTATGAGAAAGTCACATGATGAACCAAAGCTCATCACAAACAGCTTGTCTGCGAGCTGAGGAGGGTAGTTCTTATATATAGAAAGTGCACACAGTGTCATTCACACAAACACTAAACCCCGTAAATTATACAATGACTTTTTCTTTTTCACTTCCAAAAACTGTATTTTTAACAGTATTTTACTGTAAAATTACATTAAATGTAATTACATTTATTCACCGAATATAGTATATGGAAACTTACTGTTAACCAGTTAACATGTTTTTACTGTAGCATTTTACAGTCTTTTACTGTTAAAATCACAATCATTTTTTACAGTGTACATTTTTGTGGGCAAATGGATACTTAATTACACATGAGCCTCAGAGACAGTGGACATATTCAGCGCATTAGAACACTGTCCAACGTCTCCAATTCATTCAAGAGCAAATTTGACGGCCATCTGGGTTCAGTCTCTTCACAACAGACGGTAGGCTATCACTGATCAGACTCTCTGCTTCAGAGCCAAATAGTGCCACCTTCTTCATTCTGTCTATGGGTACACACTAATACACACTAACCAGCCAAAGAAGCACTTAAAAAATGTTTTGAGCAGAAATTTAATTACGCTGGAAGAAACATCAGCACTTTCAGAGCAGAAAGAAAGATTGCAGTTTTCTCTCCAGAGAACTCTCTAAAGCACATTTGCATACTAGAAATTTAGTGGGTCGTTTAATTGCATTATGCACAAATATCAGACATAACGGCTTCATTCACAACACAGGTAAATGTGGCCCAAATCTGTTTTTATTTAATTGTGAACAGCAAAAATCAATACAAATACCATTTTCAATACCAATCTGGCTTACTTTCATTACAATAATTTAAATATGTATCTGTTTGCACCATATGAAATATTACACAGAAGTGATAAAAGTGATTTTTTATATATAATACTATGATACCATTCAAAAGTTTGGGGTTTGTATGATTTTTGTAAGTCTTTTCAGCAAGGATGCACTAAATTGATCAGAAGTCACAAACACATTTATAATGTTACAAAATATTTCTATTTAAAATAAATGCTTTCTAACTTTTTATGCACTAATGTATCCTAAAAAAATAATAAAGTAAAAATAAAAATAAACCACCAAAATGTTTATTGATCAACAAATCAGCACATTAGAATTATTGCTGAAGGATCATGTGAAATAAATTACATTTTAGTATATATAGAAAACTGTTACTTTAAATTGCAATAATATTTCACAGTTTTACTGTTTTTACTGTATTTTTGATTAAATATATGCAGCCTTGATGAACATAAGAGAGTTCTTTCAGGAACATTAAAAAATCGTACTGATCTCAAACTTTTGAACAGTTGTGTATATTCAAAAACATATTTAAATGTTCATATTAAAAAAAAATCTGTTATATTTAAAAATATATATTTATGTACATTACATCTCAAATGTTGTGACAAATGCAC